ATATTGTTGGGATGGTAACTTCAAACCTTGCTGCTAGTCCAGGGGTCGTTTCAGATGGATTTGCTTCCACTACAGCTTTCAGTTGGTCGTCATCCCCCTTGCTCTTAGGCCACCTGCGTGGTTCATTTTAAAGATCAAAATCTCCAGATCGGAATTTTGTGAACCATCGAAATACTGTATGTTCGTTAGCCACATCCTTGCGGAACACTTCGTTAACATTTCGGCTTTCCTGCAGTGCATTAGTTCCACGACGGAACTCATATTCGAAAATAACTCGCATTTGTGTCTTATCCATGGCTTACAATATTTAACCCCCAAACGACAATACGATAGACTATTAAAAACAAAAGAGTGCATCTGAAAGCCAGATGGCGTACCTTCTTAATGCCAAAAAAAAAATAAAGGACAATCGAAGTAAAATTTCGGAGATATCTGGTATCAAACGTGAGGCTTTAGGTAATCAGACATTTCATACTTAATGACCTAATAAAAACAAGTTTCTAATATTTCCTACTGTACATTTGATATAATTATTTAAAATGTTACAAAAATTATTTATTTATTTTTGTAGTTTCTTATATTATTTGATATTGTTGTGATATGTGTTCTGCAAATAAATCTGTTTCTATTGTATGTATATTGAATTACTGAAACCTTTTTAGACCATAAAATCAGGTAACGTGTTGGCATGAATAAAAAAAAATGAAAGAGTGATTCGTTCCAAAAAATCACAAACTGTGTGTGCTATTGATTATTCCACATAATATATTCACTGATAGAATAGAATAAGTATGAAAAGGTTTTTCTTAAAAAGTTTCTTGAAATCGTCAAAAGGGGAAAATAAAAAACAGAGTGAAACATTAATAACTAACCGACATTTTGTTGTTTCTTTCGTCTGTGACAACCAGTAGTTGTATCGGCTTCTTCTTTGACTTGCAACTCGTTGCATCTAACACCTTCGACCTTACGTTTCATTCGACAAAAGAAGGATCTTCTTGCACCAGGACAAAGYCGGGACACTCCTTGCGGAACGTCGGTTTTTACTGGCAGCATAGCTAAAATAAAAATATTASGATAACATTATTAGAAAGCATGTTAGTCGTTCATTGTCAATACTACACGTAACACATGACTGGTTGTAAGAATTTTTTTTTGCACAATTTTGTTTAAAATTTATTACAATTGTTATTGAGTGATTAATATTTTTTGCTATACGTATATAGTAAAATATATGACTTTTTGAAGATGGGTTATTTGATTCATTATAATAAAAATAACTATTAGGTGGCTTGGAAAGTACTTTCGTTTTTTTTCTTTTGTAAAAATGAAGATAATTTCTGCTTCGAGGTTAAACCTAAACCTTTCAAGTGGTCATAAATAGTTGAATTTGATAAATCTGACCTYTTATCGATCTCACGTATTTTTATTTGTCGGTTTGCATCAACTAATGCATGCCATTATTGCGTTAGCAAAAAACGAAACGACTTTCCGAACCACCTAATATATATATATATATAGTATTAATAAATTTAATGCTAATTAAAGCTGATATTTACTTGATCAGTAGTTTTCGATATTTTTACTGTATATTTTAAACAAATGATAAATTTATACAAAAAAATGTCAGTATAAACATTTTAAATTAATAATCCAACTTTTATGCAGTCCTGTATTAAYGTGTAATCTATCAAAAATACTGGTCTTATCTATTTATTACCATAATCCTAATAAACATCATTGTCAATTTACATTTGCAAGTTACAGCTTATTTTAAATATATTACCTCAAAGATTGATATACAAGGATACGACGCGTATCGTTGCATTAGGCTTGTTTAGAATAAATAGGAATATTTCAAATACACCTTTTTAAAATATTAGACTCGTAAAGGAAGAAAATAGCATTTTACGAACATGTTGGGGAAAAAAACCTTTGCAGAAATATATTTTAAAATTATTGAATGTATAAAAATAAAAATAAAAATGCAAAGATATCATTAAAAAAATCACTTCAATTGAAAATTTCAAATCATTAGGTTCTTGCATAAAAACAATAGATTTAAAGTATATTTTTGTTAATATTTATAATAAATAAGTATTAAGTAAATATATATATAAATAAAAGTATAAATTATATTCTTAATAAAGTAATAWAAATAAATATTAATATAAATATTAAACAGTTATTATATATTTTATTGTAATATTTATTGTAAATATATCTACKMTTTTTATTTATTTATTATTTATTTATAAATTATTTATTGATTTTTCTTTTTTCTATTTTTTATTGCCACTATWTTCTCTTCGTCTTTTTTATARAAATTTTTGTACCAATGTACAACCCWTKAACAAACAAATAAATAAACAAAATTATTATTTTTAWTAATAATAATATATATATTTAATAATTATTATTTATTTCATTGTAAAATTCATTGTAAATATCTTTACATATTAGTTATTAATTATTTATAAATATTTCTTTAATGTAATTTATTTATTTTATTTTATATTTATTTATTTATTTATTTTTCTTTTTTTCACCCTTTTATTTTAACTATTTTCTGTTCTGTCTTTTTTTTGCAAATTAAAATATWAATAATATTGTAATAATATTGTAAAAAAAATATTAAGCTATTTAATATTAATAATAAATAAAAATAATAATAATATATATTGTTATTATTATTTGATTATTGTATCATATTATATTTTTATTATTATTGTATTAATTTTATATTAAGAATAATAATTATTATTATTATATTAACTATTATTAATATTTATATTTTATTAATTTTTTTTATTGTTATTATTATTATAATATTTAGTTTTTATTATATTATATTATTATATTAATAAATAATCAATTTATTTATTAATAATATTAATAAATTTTAATAATAAAAATATAATAAAATATTTAATAATATAATATATATATATATATATAAAATAAAATAAATATAATATAAATAATAGTAATAAATAAATTAATTAATAAAAAAAATACAAATAGTTATTAAGTACATATATTAATGTTTATTGATATATGATAAATAGAGATAGATGATGGTTGTGATGAATAGGTCATGATGAATATTTTGCATCATCATCATCGTCATCATCATCATCATCATAATCATTATTATCATTATTATCATCAACATCACCATAATCATCATCATGATCATTCTCGTTTAGTCTATTTTTCTTATTGAATGCATGAATCCTTTCGTAATCTTTGGTTTATCTCTGCTAATACCGATTTTCAAAGATGTTTATCGACAAACGGTCTTKGAAGCAAATGTTGCAGGACGACTGACATTTCATCGGGTGAATGTAGAAGAAAATCGTACTGAGTAATCTGCGTTATCCTGATCAACGCGTAAGCCACAGTCAGGTGAATGTCGAAAGGTGCTATAATTAATGGATACCTGGGTCGAAAGTCAAATATGGATGTTTTAAGGAGATACACACAACTTTTTCTAACCGAATATAAACAGAATTATTTTTTTTTTCTTGGAAAATAAATGTATCATTATGTGTTTCTTATTATCCTAAATTTAATTTTGCTTGCTTTTATTAATTTTTCATTTTACTGATTTTTATATGAGCTGTTGATAATCAGAAAAAAAACTATCTTGTTAGTTGTGATTTTGAAAACAAAACAAAAAACCAAAAAAAATTCTTTAGAAAATTGTACAAAATTATGTCAATTTGTTTTAGATCACATCGCTAGCTTTGAARCTAATTTCAATTTTTCAATTAATTTTAATAACAGACAGATTTTAATAATGAATCAGTTTTATTACAAAAAAAAAATACCGACTATTTTTGAAGAAAATGAAATATAATGGAATAATTCACACGGTTATCAATGCATCATATATTATCAAAATATTATAAACACATACAGTGGATGTAAAAAGTATTCGTACACCAATTATTTTGAAATAAAAGTTTCTAAAATTATAAATAAAAAAAAATGAAAATTGGCGAACTTCGAGAAAATAACGGTTTTTCTAAAAAAAAATCCGAAAATTCAGGGAGCTTATCATCTCAAAATTTTGTTGCATTTTTTTCTCATAAGTACATCTAAAAACAAAAATTTAAAAAAAAAAACGTCCCAATAGGTAGAATTTTGAAGAATTTATAGCCATTTAAAAAAAAAAGCCATTTTTTTTAAATCATAATAATTTCTTTTTAGGTTTGGTAAAAAAATTTGAAAAARTTCTGCGAACTGTTTTTCATAGGGTAGAATAGGATGAAAAACTTTCAGCCAACTCGAAAAGGGTCARGGTCAAAAGTGATTGATTTGGTATGGAATACCCCATATACATTTATTTTCTCTTCTGAATCTTACAAATCTCTAGTTTTTCGATTGAATAAAAAATATAATTTGGCAGRCCAAAAAATCATCAAATTTTCGTGCGAACTTTGAAACGTTTTTTTTTTCAATTCCGCCATTTTGATAAAATTTCAATTTTTCGTTGCTATCGAGTTTCATGGTACGGGACATTCCTTCTACTTTAATCAACTTTTTGTTTTTTTTTTATTTCATGCATTGTAAATGTCGCTATAATTGCAGCAGTGGGAGGACTTTCTTTTTGGGGCCTTAGGAGATGGCGAATAACTCGCATAATTTTCAATTTTTCGGTTCAAAAATTTGGTCATATATTATTTACATATCCATGAATATCTCCTTAAAAAATTAAAACATTTCATGCAGTAGTTTGCTTTAAAAAAAATTCCGAAAAATCACCTTTTTTTCAAGCGGTCACACTAGCGGTGTCTCTTAACCCTTTGACTACTGTTGGCGCCCATTGGCGTCCGACACATGTTGGCTTCCTGGTACTGTTGACGCCTATTGGCGTCCAAATCAAATTTCGCTTGTTTCGCACGTTTTAAAATTTTATAATTGGTCTTATGGTAATGTAGACCTTCAATGGTAATGTAGATTACCTATTTCGATTAACTTATTTAGATTCATTTAAATTTAATTAAACAAATATTAAGAAAATACTTAGATGAAACTAATGGATATAAATTAGGAGGTAGAGATACTAACAATGAGTCTTTTCGTTTGACRCAAAAGCATTTTCCGTCTCTATATGAAAGCAATACAGMAATTCGGAAAAGTGCAAGGCGTAGATGTGTAATGTGTGCAAAAAATGATAAGARAAAGGATACACATTACGAATGTAAAAWATGTAATGTAGGATTATTTATTCATCCGTGTTTTGAAATATATCATACGTTATTATATTATCAAATTTTATTATTAAACATTTTTATTWAAAAAAATAAAATATTGTTATTTAAAAAAAGCTTAATATTAATGTTCACTTCAAGTAATATTYSTTTAATGTAATAAATTTCAGTATTTTGAATATTTTAATATACTTYCGCAGAAATGCGTCGTTCCCTTTTTATGACGTCGTGAGTGAATTCGTACCGTACCGTACGGCCAGTRCGTGCCTAAGTCTGCCGTAGTCAAAGGGTTAGTAACTAACTCAATTTAGTTGAAAAATGAACAACTTYATTTTCMAAATAAATGAMAGATATATACTTATACTTACTTTTCGCATCAATGAGTCGTTCTCTAGGACTTAAATCTGACGAGGATAATTGCTCTTTTACTTTGGCCACGTCTTTCGGATGAAGTATGTCGAACCAACTTTGACCCAAAAGGTCACCCTGAAATATATTCTTATTATTATTATTAWTTTTTAATTTAATCCATTTTAGACATTCAATTATTTGTATTGTACTATATGTATATACATAGCGAATAATAATAATATGTATTGGCATATAAAGTAAAGTAGAGCCTGTTTTTGAGAGGRGGCCTTTTCTATGCMATTTTTTTTGTGCGATCTTTTTTTATGCGGTATATGAATTTCAGCGGCGTCAACACCAGTTTAATGTTTCCTATCAGTGTACATATRCATGTATGGACAAACCCTGACTACGTGGACTCCTTGACGATAATGGAAATTTATACAATCACTGGATCAGGGCATAATCGCAAATTTTAAGAAACATTATCTCAAATTTACTTTKAGCTACATTCTGAAAAAACTAGAGAACGATGAATTAGGCCTGACTGAAGTTTGGAAAAAATTCTCAATTTTAARCTGCATAAACTATATTACTGCAGCAGTTGGTCAAATAAAACAACACACAWTAAATTCGTGCTGGAAAGCGATCTGGCCTGAATGTGTAATTAATCGAAATGTAACCGAAAACGCGTCCACGTTATTATCTGAAATTACTGCACTCGCACATATATTAAGATCAGCGCAGAGGGCTTTGATACTTTCGGCGAAAATGATCTTGACAAAATGATTGAGGACAAAACTGTCAATGATGGTGACATTATATATATATATATATATGTTTTTTTATTTATATTATATTTAGATCGGGTCATAAATAACTTCCCTTTTTTATGAGACAAAGAATGGCGTCTCTACCACTGATAAGTGCAAGACACTTTTCATGGAGTTTTATTTTGCACTATTTGCATTTGTTGGACGTATCTATTGGATTTTGAACTAATATTACCTTTAGAAGGTTTGTCAAAGTTGAAAAGAAGTCCTGCAATCGATTCCTCTTTTAAGGTCGTATCTTCAGAACGGAATTTTACAAACCAACTTCTGACTGCCCTATCAGTTAACAGTCCTACACCGTACACAATGCATATTTTTTCAGCTGTCACCTTAGTGCTATTGCCTTGTTTAAATTMCTAAAGAATTACATGTCGAATAGGCACTTTTTACTATCTATTTCAGAGGTTCACCTATTTGCATCATTGCGCGGAATATTAAACAAGCCGTGAGTATCTACTATCACCAAGAGCGAAATAATTCGCATAAGAAGCATTGGTTTTTCTACCTGTAAGCATTTGACCGGTGATACCGGTCAGTCGTAAGTTTTATGTCTTGGATACTTAAGCAAAGAAGACTAGTTCTAATCATGATGCAAATGGGTTAAGAAAAACGGTTAAATGTAACATTCACAACATAAAAAAGTTGACAGAAAACTAACTAAATCCGTTTATTTTGATGACTAATATTAGGTCATTAAGTATAAAATGTCTGATTTGAAACCGAAAGTTTGGTTGACTATATCTCGGGCAATAAATAATATAATYATTTAAAATATGCACCTAAACTATCAATACAACGTTGCTATTTTACCGATAGCTTATTAATACAGCTAGCGAAAAAATCTAGAGAGCAGCTGAAGATAAAATCGCGAAAGGCATTTTCCATCGTATGTTAGGTATTCAACATTTTTCCTTGCAAAAATTTGTCTAAAGCTCGGAAAAAATGGTAATTGGTTGGTGCACGATCTGGCGAGTACGGATAGTGATAAAGTGTTTCCAGGTCCAGTTCCTGTAGTTTAAGTAATGTCGATCTTGAGACGTGTGGTCGAGCGTTGTCCTGCAGAAGGATTGGTCGGTCCCTGTTGACMAATCTCGGCTGCTTAATTTGCAGCTGTATAATCATTTCTTCTAACTGTTCACAGTAAAGGTCTGCCGTTATCAATTGCCTAGGTCTCATAAAACTATAGTGTATAACACCCGCGCTGGATCACCAAACAGACATCATTAGTTTTTTTTTGGTGTATACTCGGCTTTTGGTTGTGTTTTGGCACTTTATCCTTGTCTAACTATTGTGCTGAGCGCTTGCGATTATCAAAAAGTATCCACTTTTCATCGCACGTGACTATCCGGTGCAAAAATTGATCGCCTTTTAGTCTTAATACTAAAGAACAGCAAGCCTYGAAGCGGTTCCGTTGCTGACGCTYGCTCAAGCCATGCGGAACMMACCTATCCAGYTYCTTTACTTTWCCGAWTGCTWTCAGWTGACTTAATATTGTTGRAATGGTAACTTYAAACCTTGCTGCTAGTCCAGGGGTCGTTTCAGATGGATTTGCTTCCACTACAGCTTTCAGTTCGTCGTCATCCCCCTTGCTCTTAGGCCACCTGCGTGGTTCATTTTGAAGATCAAAATCTCCAGATCGGAATTTTGTGAACCATCG